ACTGTGAACCCAAATTTCCTCACCAGTAAAAATTCGAGCCAATACTCCATCTTTGTCTTCCATACAGAGGTCCAAAATGTCAAATCACATTATTTATTCATATGTGCACAGAATATTTATTTATACATTATAATCGTCGTGGTATCCCAGGGGTTAAGTGCTCGCTGTTACTTTCACAGTACGCGAGCAATCCAGGTTTGATCCTTGCCGGCACCAACGAAATTGTTAATTGCAATTTTAAGTGCTGATTTACCACGTGCTCGGCGGTGAAGGACAACATCGTGAGGAAACCTGCATGTCTGAGAAATAAGAAAAAAAATGAAGTTCGCCAATCCGCAATGGGCTATTGGACATTTCCTTGCCCTAAAACCCTCTTAGAAATGAGAGGCCTGTGCCTGGCAATGGGACGTATATAGGCTGTAACATTAACTTTGCATTTAACGGCGGATTTCAAATAAAATGACCATAGGAAAACTGCGCTGTCCACTAACTTTTTCAATAGTTTATTCATAAGGAAATCAAGTTTTTGTTTTTGTCGGTCACACTATAGATAAAAAACATATAAAGATTATTTTTAAATTTAAAAACAAAACTAAATAAACCTGCAAAATACTTCCACAAAGTAAACATTTATGTGGACGAAACCATTAATTTTAACATGACCACACTTTACCTACCTTGCCAACAAAAAGATCTGATTTAGACAAATTTTTGTTCAAACAGTTCATATATTTGACAGTTATATTGAAAAGTTTATTCAAGAGCACAAAACTAATGCATGTTTTAGAGTTTTGTTAAATAAATAAAATAGATAATTTATTTTAATTGTTGTCCTCAAAAACTAGGTTGGCGGAATTTTCTTTTACGTAACGCATGTAGCAGGTTGCTCGCTACACGCTTGCCCTAAAACCATCTCATAAATGAGAGGAGGCCTGTGCCCAGCAGTGGGACGTAAATAGGCTGCAACTTTACTTTTACTTTTAGGACGATTTTTTAAGTTCCTATGTCTTATAAAAGTATTACTTTAGTATTACTAAGTAGAGATTGATCTTTTGAATTTTTAATTTTATGCCAAAACGTAACCCTTAAAAATATTATTAATATTAAAAGAACTTTAAGTATTGTTTCTTTATTGTTTTTTTTATATATATATTTCATACGCTGAAATATTTTTAATTTTGATGACTCCAATAGCTAAAAGTATTTTAGCGTGTGAATTATTTTCAGAGACCGACGCTTTAATATATTTTTTAATTTTATTAGACACTAATCTTAAGAACATTTTTAAATAACCATAAGTATTTTAATGAAGACTGAATTATAGATAAACACTTTTAAAATTATAGTAATTAAGAATTATTTAGTACTTATGGAATAATGGTGTATAAACACCCTAAGCAGTTCCTTTTCGTAACACATTATTCCATTAACGTAACTGTCCCACAGTTATTAGTTTTAATTTCTACGTTTGTCTTACAAATATTGTTGATTTGAGTGCTTTTGAAAGTTTAATAGTGTTTATTTTTTTATTTCGTTCATAGAGTCTTATATTGAACGTGTTTCAAATATTGTGGTAAATAATATTTCTTTCCCCGAAATATCTGAAAAGTTACTTAATGGAGCTTTACACAGTCGATTATCTAAATTTCTACGAAGAATTTTGTAATAAGCTTAGTTTTTAAAAAGATTTTTCTTTGATTTCATTCAAACAATAAAATTTAAATGAATAATAATAGTTTTATTTTATTAAAACGGTAATTAAAAAAGTTACGAAACTGAATAAATATTGCAGTATGCGGTCTCTTAAAATGGATTTTTATGAATATTATTAAAACATTCTTAATATTTTTTACATTGTCGGACAATTTATTAAATTTACCACCGAAATATCCACATTTAAGTCCATTACGATTTATGAAAAATATTAGGTTCCGCTTACATAACGTGTCATTTTATTTGAAATCCACTCAGCTACGCAATGTTACGATAGGAGGTGCTGGTGTGTTTTTTTGTTACACGATATTTTCGTCAATTGTGAACCGATTTTGATGATTCTTTTTTATTTAATGGTTCAATAACTGCCTTTAAAATGTGGGGAGAAAATTTTCTAGATAAAAAGGTAAAGTTTTTAACGTACTGTTTAAACGACATTCTAGTTATTACTTAAAGCTTGTGGTATTCCTTCATCATCAAAATCATTACAGAACATGACAAGCCCACTGCTAGGCATAGACTTCTCTAAGGAATGTATGGCAAAGCATCATGTTCCTGAGCTGCCAACATCGAATTTCCATCAGTTACCAGATTATCAATCTTTATTTCGGGCAGCCGGGTAGTGAACGCACAATCAACACACTGGTATTTGTAGTGCTGCAATCATCAGTCTGTTGAAATTAGAGTTCTGCCTTTTTAACGGCGTTTATCCGCTTGCCAGGCGTGACGATTAAGGCAAATCCTCTCAAGAACTAGGTAGACCTGCGTTCAGCATTAGACTTTTACGGGCTGATGAATAACAAGAAAAAGAAGTGCAGATAAAGTTAGCGCTTTAAGAAGAAATAGAATAGAACAAAATAATTTTTTATTCAATATATATCCCATGTGTAATACTTATTGAAAAGAGAAAGTAATTTTTTACTTTGCCACTGGTTCGATAAAACCTTCTGTCCTGGGAAAAACTAGCAAGAAACCCAGCGGGAATTTAATTTAAAGTAAATTTTACTAGAATGGTTGCACAAACTATTTACAAAATTAATTTTAGAAACAGCTTGGAACCATCTGATTCCCAGGGGATATTATCAAGCATGTATTCATTTATATTATTATAACATTTTATACGGTGTTTGTTTAATAAATATTTAAACTTAGTAACAGAAAGATCTTGTATATTTTCTGAGACTTTGTCGTAATAGCATTGTCCCAAGAATGAATTACTGACTCTGTGGAGTCGAGAAACTGGTATCACTAGCTTGTGTTTGTTGCTAGTGTTAACAGAGTGTTCATCACCTTTTTTACTAAAATTGCCTTTGTTTCTGTGAACAAACATTAAATTTTCGTAAACATATTGAGAGGCGAAAGTTAATATGTATATATTTCTTTAAATTTTTATCTAAGAGACTCTCTCGGTGTTAGGTTGTAAATAGCTATAATGGCCATCTTCTGTAATACGAAAATAGTTTCTAAATCAGCCGCATTTGCTTATATCAAAATTTCATAAGACATTATGCCATGGAAATAACTGAAATAATCTAATCTAGCTGTCTCTATACTAGTGAGACTTTTAACCTTTTCTACAGCATAAGCTGCAAAACTTAGTCTGCTTGTTAATTTGGATATTTCCCCATTTAAAAACCCATTGGTATTTAGATTTTTTACATTTGATGTTATAAATTTAACACATTTAGTTTTATTTTTGTTTAAATGTAGATTAATAACGTTAAAACAATGCATCAATTATAATATAGCATTATTCACTTCCTTAAATTTAAATGATAAGTGTGCAGCATTGACGTATAAGTTTAAAAATCAAGGAAGTATCATCAGGAAACAAAACTATATCATGATTATCCCCTAAAAGGGAAGGTAAGTCATTAGTATACACTAGAAATAAGAATGGGCCGAGAATTGAGCCTTGAACTTCACCTATTAGTACAAGTGACCCGGAAGAACTTTTACCATTGATTATAAATTTTTGCGTTATATTACTTAAATGTGAAATAATAAGTTTAAGTGCTATGTTCTTGATACCATAATACTGTAGCTTCCTGATTGATTTCTCATGGGAAACATATTCGAAGGACTTGGACAGGTCACAAAATATATCCAAGCATCCTGAGAATTCTCCCATTCACAAAAAATATGCTTAACTCCAGCGTATTATATATATAACTGTGACATCTCCTTCATCCTCATCGTTACAGCCCATTACAAACCCATTGCTGAACTGCCTCTACTATAGTTAGCACCAAATAACGGTTCTGAACAATTTGCATCCAAATCATGTTCCCTGCGTGTTTCATCATGTCGTCACTCCATGCCCTTGCACTTTTAAAACATGATGTTAATGGTACCCTAGCGCAGTGGCTAACTATATGACTGTGGAAAAAATAATAGTATAATAAATTATACAATAAACACTCTTACAAAACCGCAATAATTTAATTGTGATTAAAAATAATAGACATTTTTATCTATAGATGTAATAAAAATGTGAATTGCAGATGTCTGTATATTTAATATTTTTGTAACAAAATTGATTGAGAGAAGGTAACTGTGTTTACAAAAGGCTCATATAGAGCATTTTGGTACCTTCCGTGGAGCTCCTTCTCCTTCCATATGGTCTCCCGGTCGGAATTGCTCTATGCTGCTGGGTCTTGCCATTGCTCATTGGCTGGAGGTAGAGGGGTAAGCCCTTTATCACACAAAATGACGTTCTTGTAGAATGGATCATCCAATCTCGAAAGTAAATAATTACGAAAGCTGCACATTATGTATGGTAAGCGCGCTTTAAAAGACGCGCCCGCCATGTTTCCGCGACAAGTACAGCCTCATTACCGACGATCTCAGATGATATATTCTATGGGATGTCACAGTAGTGCAGACTTTTCTATCCAGGGCGCTTAGTTCAGTTTGAGTCCATCTGAGTTCACCAAGCAAATGTGACAAGCATGACCCAACCGATATATGTGCGTATATCTTATTTACGCCCTGAATAAAACTATTTTTACGGATTTTATCGCGTTTAATTAACTTATTTTATATTCCCGACGTTTCGGTTGCTTTCCAGCAACCGTGGTCACGGGGGACTGAGGTGATTGACGTCCCGATGTCAAAGTTAACCCGGAGTACCTTCAGCTTTTTAATTATTAATTTTGGTCTGATCTACGCAGAATGAACTAACTGTGTCTTGAAGTCTTGCAGTGGTATGCTTGGATTTAGTTTTAATTTTATGAATTACAGGATCCCAAGCAGGTGGTAGTACCCAGCCTCCCTCTCTATTGAAATTAGGATGTTTTTTTAATTTCAATAGCCTCACGTATCATCCTTGGCAGGAATCGATGTTCTTTCGCGAGAACTTGTGGTTTATCAAATCTAATGTAATGGCGGGGGCCGTCTAGGATATGATCACAAACTGCAGACTTCCCGGAACGTTGGTGCTTCACGTCAGCTATGTATTCTTTTACCCGGGTTTTTATTGATCGTTTTGTTTGCCCTATATATGAATTACTTTTAAAACAAGACTGGCTATATTACTGCCCATTTTCAACTTCAAGTGTGTCTAATCTGTTCCCTAATTTAACCTTGATGCTTTGTATTTTTGCATTTTGTATATGGCTTAACATTATGTACTGTTATACCATATTGTGCTATCTGATGTCTATCTCTATACATATAGAACTTATGAAAATTGTTAAAAACTTTTACCAAACACTACATACTTTTTCCCACACACGCACACATACACTCATACACTTTAGAAACATAAACTCTTAAATATACATGATTGCGGCTGTAAACAATACACAAGATAAAATCCTACAAAAACTTGCTCCCAAAACTCAATCCACACTAGTATACATATGTCTTCACATCTTCACTCTTAACATAAGCTACTCACTTAAAGCATTAATGAAACTAATCGAACAACACTTCTCCATCATACCCCTTTTTACTATCAACTTACCTACAGTCATGCAAATTTTAATTATCTCTACCCCTAGATTATTTTTACATCTGTTTCAATATGGATGAATCGTTGTATACGCTTCAAGAATTAGACAATATTAAAATAGCTAAGACACTAGAGTGCGATACCGCTGATCTTGAGAGACTCATACAAATTAATAAAAATGACTTTACCATAATATCTCAGAATATTGTTAGTATCTACAAAAATTTTAACGATTTTACTCTTACTTTGGCAAACTTATCTTTTGAAATTGATATTATCACCTTCACGGAATATAGATTAAACCCCAATAAACATCTCCCACAATTAAACAACTATGAAGTCTATTGTACCTCATCCCAACTAAATCAAAGTGATGGAGTAGTTGTATATATAAAAAAAGCTTAAAACACAAAGTCAAGGAAGTAATTTTACATCAAGCATCATGTCTACAGATTGATGTATTGAATACTACAGTATTATAAATTTACAGATCACCATCGAACCCAAACCCTACAAATTATATCAATACGCTAAACTCTCATTTAGAGACTCTTCCCTCGCATAGGAGCATTATAATAACAGGTGATATTAATATAAATATTCGACCCAAACCTAATGAACCTCTGCATGAGTATAAAAACAGAATGAACTACTTGGACATGCTTGCTAACCATGGCATATTAGTGGGACATACATTACTTACTAGGCAGCAAGGCTGCCTTGACCATTTCATGTTAAAAATCAATAAAATTAAATACAATTCAACTATAGCGATTTTGCAAACTACAACTACGGATCATTTTACAACATTTCTATCAATCTCAAAAATAAAAAATTTAACTAAAGATAATAGAACTAAAACCACTATAAATTTTGACGCTGCTCTAAAATATTTACAAAATAGTAATCTATCTGATATTTTATTTAGTGACGACCCAACGACTGTCATTAACTACTTAATAGAAAGAATTATAGAAAGCCTAAAGATGAATACTTAGGTGACACGTATATCATGCAACAAAAGAATTATACAGCCGTGGATCTCTCCAGGAGTATTGCGGTGCATACGAAATCGCAACCAACTTCAGAAAAGGCTACGTAATGACCCTCACAATGAAATTCTTTGCATTACTTACCGACGCTACCGAAATTACTGTAACAACTTAATAAAAAGACTAAAAAGAAAATATGACAGGGACACCATTACAAAATCTTTAAATAATAATAAATTGCTTTGGAATAATACGAGTATTAAAAACATTATATACTCGAAAGGAAAACATAACACTAATTCTAAACTGTTTAATTTAAGGTCCTCGCCCTCTGAATCGGCTAACTTTATTAATGACTATTTCGCCAATATAGGATTACAACTTGCAAATAACATTCAACACGATACAAGAACATCTAAAACACTTATAGAAAATAAACCGACACAACCAAATTCTTTTGCACTACTGCATACTCATGTTGATGAAGTTCGTAGCACTATCCTCCATCTAAAATCAAACAGCGCCCCAGAGTGGGATAATATTCCAAATAAATTTCTAATGTTGGCTGTTGATGACTTGTCTCCCATTATCACCCACCTTGTAAATCTTTGCGTCTACAAAGGTGTTTCTGCACCGTTGAAACAATCAATTATAACACCCGTATACAAGGGTGGGGACGGTGAAGATATTAGCAATTATAGGCCGATCTCGGTTCTGCCAGCAATATCTAAAATCTTAGAGAAACTACTTAATACTAGACTACTAAATTACTTAAATAAATTTAACAAATTATCATCTCCACAATTTGGTTTCAGGCGGGGAAAATTGACAGAAGATGCA